AACTAATTCAACTATGTCTTCATATTAAGTAACAATAAAAATAACCCTACAAAATATTCAGATGCAACAAACAAAAAATGTACTATAGCTATAAATTGTTTGACCAAATTTAATATATAATTGCAATATCATTTAACATTAAATCTATTTTCATTAATTGAATAGCAACCATGGCTTTTTTCATTTTTCACAGAGGCTTTGTGTGGCTGGTCTCATCTAAACTTGCTCTGATTTGTTCTGAATTTCAATTATATTTTAAGATACACTGTGCTGTCAAATCCAGCTGACCACAGAACCCGTTCTCCATGGACACTGCACACGCGCTGCATCAAACAGTCTGTGGGGGTTGAATATGAATGCAGTTGCACCCTGTCTTGCAAATTATACCTGTTGGTGTCTGACCATGGTCAAGCTATCCCAAAACTTCTAAGTGACTATATATATCACTATTTTAAAAGAATTATAATAAAATTATCAAAATGAAATCCTAATAAAACATGGGAATGCTTTCTGATAAGAGGCAGCCCACGCTTTTCATTATAAGAACTATGGATATTTATGTTTTCAATAATATTTGGTACTTCATTTTTACTAAAAATAACATTTAATATGTATGTAACTTGATCATTAAAACTTATGAATTATGTCAGTACAGAGGTGTATCTGTTGACCTTATTAAGCCACTTCTTAACAATAAAATGTCACGATTCAAATCTGTTGTGCCACCTTTATGAACAGGCAGGCCAATCACCGACAAGTCCTCATGAGAAAAGCACACGGGGAAGCGGGTCTTTGGGGTTCACAGAGGCGGTTTACTTCTCAAGTCCGTGAAACATACGAACATTCATTAGACCTACAAACTAAGCCTTAAGTAATCAGAGTAGAAAATTTGTCATTATAATTCTTGCTCCTCACATCAAATGAAAAATGTATATAAGAAAAAGAAAAATTTCAAGGCTTATGACAGCATCCTTTTTTTAAAATAATTCCCGACTTACATAATTAAATACTTATGTGCATAAACCTTTTTTTCAAAGTTTAGTATGTGAATGTCTTATTAAAATTATCACATAGGAAAGTATTTCTGTTTTATCAGATTTAAAATAAACTACTCTATTCAAGGTATTGATCTCAAGAATAAAGTAACCCCTGACAATTTGGAAAAAATAAAACTTCCCTAAGTCTATAAGAATAATTATTCAACTATATAAAATGTTTTTATGTTAAAAAGTTAATATGCAAATTAAATTTAAACATATGTTTTTCTGGGGTGTCAGTGAATGCGTGCTCATGTACACACATATAAACTTTTAAAAGAATACCAGTTCCTTAATATAATTCAACAATTCATTCTGATGTATTCCACATATACAGATACCTTGGAAACCACTAAATTCATTTTCCCTTCATTTTACTTTGAACTGAAGCAGAGATTCAGGAACTGAATTTTTTAAAGGGTGTTATTTCACAGGTAAACAGTGCCACCTTCTGGCAGTTGAAACTGTATTAACAAAATTTACTGTGGATTTTAACTGTCGTTTTCTGGAAACGTTATGTCTACAGGTTAGAGTAAAAACCCTTAGTGTAAATCAGTTAATTTTTTTTAAATAGTCTTTAAAGATAAGAACATTTTTTAGCATGTCTTCAGATAGATATAATTTCAAAAGGGACTAAGGAGCCCTAAATTGTGCTACTAAATCTGCTAAGTGGATGCTGAATGTTAGACTCACTGCGTAGCTCTCTGGACCTCGGTTTCGTCACCTGTCAGGTTGCTTAGCAAGTCATCAACCAAGTTCCTTCTAGTATAAAATTACACTGGAGTTTGGCTTTAAAAATGCTTAAGGGTATGTCTGGCTGCGCACCTTAGTAGGGAATACAGATCTGTCTATGGCACTTTTTGTTATTCTTTTATTATTACAGGTTTGGTTATACCCTCTGCTTGAATTTTCCTCAAAAAATAAATCTTAATTTATACTTCTCCTTGTCCAAATAGCATTCCTCTAAACACTACACTTAGAAGGAACTGAGTTGTGAATAAAAGTAAATCAAGTAACTAGAAACAAGTTTAAAAAAAAAACAAAACACTCCATAAAGGTTAAGAGTACATGCTTTAGGTAGTCAGGGGTCAATGTCAAACCAAGCACCCCAACGAAAGTCCCTCCAGAGCTTCCCGAATCCTGTGCGACTGCAGCAGATGAGAAACAGAACAGGCTCGGAGTCTGGGCAGCTCGTCCTCACAGCCCCACGGCTGTGACCGCGCTTCCCGCAGGCCTGCCCGGGTTGCCTGTCCTGCGTTTCATTGTCCCCGGGGGCAGTCACCACCTCACCCCTTGTCTCAAAACGTCTTGCTCTGATGGGTAACTTCCTGCTGAGACTCTCTGGCAGCCACCTGGTCCGGGCTCCCAGCCCCGGGCCTGCACCAGAGCCTTCAGTGCCCATCAGAGTCTTCTCTCCCAGGAGTGAGTTAAGGGCTTGCCTCAGGGTCGCTTGAGATGCTGGTTAAAATGTGTCTGCTCCAAGAGCCCAGAGGGGCCAGCACTGTCCACTGGAAATCCGACACGAGCCACATGCGTCATTTTAAATGCTCTGGTAGACAGACTAAGAACTAAAGAGAAACAAGTGAAATCATTTTTAACATGTTTTATTTACTGCAATGCATGTAAAGTATAATTTCAATAAGTAATCAATTTAAAAATATATCAGTGTGATACTTTATTTTTCTATGGCAAGTATTCAGAATCTGGTGTTTGATCCTTGCAGCACATTTCAGTTCAGATCCACCAGATGAGCACGTTGCAAGTGCCCAAGAGCCCCCTGCGGCGAGCGGCCGGATGGAGACCCACTGGAGGAGGAATAGAAGCCAAGAACCTACATATTTGACAAAATATCCAGTCCAGACAGGCCTGTACACAATCCATTCTACAACCACTGCTAAATTTACATTTGGGAAAAAAAATACAAAACGCCCCTTTACTGACGGCAAGCCTCAGAGCCTAGAAATCCCTGGACCTTCAGTTCAATCTCCTCAGGTGGGTGTTCAAAGCCCCCTCAACGTGGCCTCACTTATCCATCCAGCCTGTTCGCCAGCTGGAAAATGCTGTGGGTTCTTCTGTGAGGTTGTCCTAGGTAAATGCTCAAATGCTCACGCGTTCAACAGATACTTGTGGAGCCTCCACTAAATGTCATCATGGACGTTCTGCCAAGCAGGGAAGACCGAAAACCAGTCGTCGCGTTATGACGACAATGCAGCTGCCACCATGAAAGCAACTGCTCTGAAACAGCACCAGAGATGCTGTGAGAATATGTAAGAGCAGGGCCTTCGAGTCCGAGGGGTCAAAGAAAATTTCCTTAATGCACGGGTATTCAAATTAAGAGTATAAAAATGACAGGAATTGGAACAGGTGAAATGAAATTTCTAGGCAGCAGAGGCCGCATTAATTCCCGAGCCTTCCATTGTTCTTTCTTGGTTCACGGGTGCATATTTAAACAAAACTAGATTACAAACTCCTCGAAGACTACAGATCACGCCTTCTAAACCTTATTTCTTTTAGCTCCCCATAAGGCACTAAGTACTTAATAAATACTTCCACTCTATATATAGAAAACTCACGAATTTTTGATAGGCTTTTAAGTCCTAGAACCTACAACTTCATCAACTATTTGCCCCTTCGGAGCATCGCCAGCCTCTGACACTATGAAACCAGGGCAGTCTCCCTGCAGCGCCGAGTATCCCCAACCAGTTCCCGGGAGAGGGCCGAGCGTCGCGGGAGCGCGGCCACGCACCGCCAGCCTCCTGCCGCGTTCCTTCCTGGCGGGGCAGCGGAAGGCGGTGTCTCACACACACGTGCACGCCCATCAGAAAGGAACGAAAGGATGTGAAACATGTTTTCCTGGGTCAGGTCAGCCGATACCCTGTTATACTGTTTTACCCCTCAATGGATCCACCGTTGTTTCAGACAGAATCCTAAGACGCCCCAAACTGGTCACCTCTGGAGGGGACACCCCACGTAACCCACCTTGCACGCGGCCAGAGGCATGCACGCCTGACCACGGGAGCCGGGGTGCCCCAGGTGACAGGGCCCTGGGCAGGGCCCCTGGCGATGGCACGGGTCTGACCCCAGGGCCGAACCGCCAGCCTGTCTTGCGACCACCACGAACGCCCCGGAGGCGGCTTCGGACATGCAGGACGCCTAGAGCCCGCTGGCCCGATTCACACCGCCGGCCTGTGTCGCCTGGTACGCAGCCAGGGCACCGTTGCTCTGCACTCCTAGAGGAAACACTTCCCGGCTGCTGTCCGGAAAGTGTTTCCGACCCATTTTTACAGGTAATTTTTGTAGCCGCTTTAGGAGTAAACTAGTTTCCAGCCAGCCGGGCGCCAGGTCCCTCGGACTCGTCCTCCTGACGCGGAGTCTCTGAACCTGGCCGTCCGCGCCCCAAAAAGCTCTCGGCGTCCACGTGGCCCCTGGAAGCCCGGCCTCGAAGCTGCGGTCCCCACGGCCCAGGCCCGCTCCGCCTCTCGGGGAAGGCCGTGCTCCGCCGTGAGCACCCCGAGGTCGTGGCTGCGTGATCGCACGCCGCCGCCGCCCCGGCCATTAAGCGACCCTGAGGACAGTTCGCGGTACTTTGATGGACCTATTTTCTGAACTCTCAGGGGCGCTCCTGGTCGCTCGGCCCGCCGGCTAGGGGGCGACATGCACCACCAGCACCAGCCCTCCTCCCTCGACCCCACCCGGAAGGTCCCGGACGAAAGGGACGCAAGGGACGCACGCCACGCCCCGGCGCAGCAGACGACCCGGATCTGCCGACCACGCCTCCTTAAGCGCCCGCGTGACCTGTCAGCTCCCGCGGGGGCGGGGCGCGCCTGCGCAGACGCGACGGCGAGCTGCGTCGTTACTTTTGAAACGGGTGGCGGGAACCGCTGCGGCGTCTCTCGGATTCCTGCGGTCACCGTGTGCGGTAGCCAAGTGCGGAGGCCGCGCGCCGTGGCCGTGGGCCTGGCCATGGCGCGGCAGCTCGCCCGGGAGCAAGGCATCACCCTGCGCGGGAGTGCCGAAATCGTGGCCGAGTTCTTCTGTGAGTCGTCCTCGCGGCCGGGCCGGAGGGCGGCGGGGCCGCGCCTCGGCAGGGGAGCAGGCGGCTGCCCGGACTGGGGTGCCGGCCTCCCGCCCGGCGGGGAATCCAAGGAGAGGCGGAGTAGGGCGCGACGCTGTAAGGGTGGAGAGGGGGACCCGGTGCTCCCGAGGCCCTGCTGGCGAGGCGGCCCCTTCCCGGGAGTGCCTCGTCCCCAACCCCCCGCCCCAGCGACTTAGGACGCCGTCGGCGGGGGCGGGACGGCGTGGTTCCCACTCCGCACTCCCCCCGCCCTCTTCCCGCCCCAAGACCTGGGCTGGAGGGCAGAGGGCACTTGGGGCGGCCCCCTGCAGTCCCGGGCCGGTTGAACCTTCTGCAGGACTTGGAGGAGGAAGGGAGGAAAAGAGAGAGGGCTCAGCCTGCGGGTGCTAACCTGCTCTACCGTCCTCTAACTTCCTCTAAGCACGGAATCTGAGTTTGGACTTGGATTGCAATGAGAGGAAGTGTGGCAGCGGTAAGCTGCGTGTTCGGCATTTTTTTTTCTTATTGCCGTATAAATGGAGATATCTCTTGTATTTAAAAGCAAGAACTTTGAGGATGTTTAATGGCACTTTATACCCACTCGGCTTTCAGCAAGATACAAAAACACATATGTTTAGGCATTCGCAGCTTAATACTGTTAATGAAACCTGAAACCCTAGTCACATCTATATATGTTTTATTATCTGGTATTACAAAGTGATAATGATTTGTCTGTAACATTTCTGCTTTCAGCATTTGGCATCAACAGCATTTTGTATCAGCGCGGCATTTATCCCTCTGAAACCTTCACTAGAGTGCAGAAATATGGACTCACCTTGCTTGTAACTACTGACCCTGAGCTTATGAAATACCTAAATAATGTGGTGGAACAACTAAAAGGTATTTAATTATTAGGAACAATTTTGAGTTTTGCAGACCTCTGGAATCCACATTTTCTAGTTATTATCTTGGTGGTTATTTTTTGGCTTTGTATATAAAAGTGTAAAATTAGCTATCTCAAATTTAGTGACTCTCAATGAGGAGGAAGCAAATAATATAAATTGGTATTAGGAATCTGATACGGCTTGACAAAACTGCATCTATAAACTCCCTTAGAGAATGACTTGCAGTTTGTGTGGCCAAATGGAACCAGTTGGAATTTTACATAATTATGATGGTATTTATTATCTGCAGAAAAAAATAAACCTGTATATTCTTAATATGATATTCTCTGTACCTGCTTGGAATCTAAAGCCATCATTCAAGACCAAGGAAATCAAACTGGATTCAACCTGGTAACTAAACATTTTTTTTTAAAAAAATGGAAAAAGAAAAAGAACTACTAAATAATAGAGCACCCAGTAGAGGTTTCTTATTTTTCACCTATTTCCACTTGTGTTTTTAAGAAATCTGGCCTAAGTTTAAGCCTTTTCTAAATGTTTTTTTTCCCCTTTGCTCAAGAAGTTGTTGTATCATTGGATCAATACTTGTTTTGCATCAATTTATTTTTCCTTGTTTCATGTTTCTTTTCACTTGAAATTCTCAGTTCCAGTTTTACTGAGTTGTAGGATGTTTCTATCTTCCCATTTGATCTTCCAAAGTACTAGTTCCAAAAAGTGCTACAGTGCTTTTTTCCCCCATGTATCCTTTTTCTTTGCTTGTTTCAAAGTAGCTTGATTTTTAAATTACATCCTGTTTTAATTAACTTCATAGCTAACTGGCCCCCAGGGCTTCATAGGGCTGCTGTTGGGTGACTTGGCCTGAAACCTCTGGGCAGCTGGGGTCTGTGTGTTCCTCTCAATTTGATGGAGGAGATAAGACTTGCCCACGCTACACTGATGGCATTTCATCTCAGTGCTCTAGACCTTCCTGTTTAACATCTACCTTGTGTCTTAGTCAAAATGGAGGACTTGCTGTTCCTGGAGGGAGTGCGTTCAGTCTGCTTCGGATCCCAGCCCTCTAGCCTGCTCATGGTCTCGGCGCGCTGCCTCTTGCTTTTGACAACTTTGTTTTGGTTTGGATCGTTTCCAATTTTAAAAGAAATAAAAATTACCACCTACCCGATCTCCTCCTTTTCAGAACTAAAATGATAAAAAGTTGTTGATCTGTGCCAGGGGTTAGTAAGGCCAAGAAGCCAATTCTAGCATATATGGTCTGTTTTTTGTACTGTCTGTAAGCTAAAAATATTTTTACATTTTTAAAGGTTTTTAAAAAAAAATAAAGAATATTCAACAGGAATCTAGGTGGCCCACAAGCCTTAAATACTACTAAATTGTTTTCTTGCTCTTTAAAAAATAACACTGCTGATGCCTGAATATACTCTTTCAATTTCCAAGATTAATTTAGGGCTCAGTATAATCTCCCTAGATGATGTCTGTCTGTACACAGCGTCACCCACAGCCATGTGTGGATGACTCTAAACTTCGGCCCAACCCAAGCCTTCGCTGGCTCCAGGCCCCTGTGGAAACGGCCCCCTGGTAGCTTTCTGCGGCTGTCTCAGAGACACGTCCGCGTCAGCGTGCAGGGCGAGACCCAGGGCCGTTTCCATTTCCCTCTTCTGTCCTCTCAAGGACTGGATCAGCCCTCCAACCAGTGACCCAGGGAACGTAAGGGCGTCGCCCTGACTTGGTCTTGCTTGTTCTCACGGCCAGCCGGTTAACCCTAACAGCTTAACCACTACATCTCCTGAGCCTGTCTGCTGCTCCATCTCTACCAGTTTATCCTCCTACAAGCCTTTATCTCCTCTTGCTTGTATTACTAACTAGTCTTCTAGGTCTCCACTAGTCCATTTTTCATGTCACAGCCAGAACGAGCTTTCAGTGCAAGTTTGGCTACATCACAGTCTGCTTTAAACACGACAGTGCCCGCCCAGGGTCTTGAACGAGTGAGTCTTGAGAATTCGGCCCACGTGACCTTGTGTGGTCGGCCCCTACTCACCTGGCAGCCTCCCCTGTTTGTCTGCCTTTCTCAGCTGCAGTTGCACTGGCCTTTCAGTCCTTCCTCTGGTCAGATGTTCTTCCCTGTCCGTCGGCATGTTTAATGCTGTGGGTTCTTAGCGCTAAAGTCAAGCCTTTAGGAAGCGAGAGCTCCCTGAGATAGTCAGGTTTCGCCACTTGATGCTCTCATTGCACCGTACATCTCCCCTTCCTAGCAGCCGCCATGACTCTGCTGCACCCGTATTGGTGCAGCGCTTGGACGAGCAGCGGTCTCCTGTGTTGTCGCCTCGGAGAGGGGCAGGGGAGCTGCGTGTTCACTGCCCCTCTGCACCCAGCGCCGCCCCTGCTGCACACACTGGGAACGGGGGAACGGGGAAATGGGCTGGGCGCGGGGGAGGAGCTGCAGAATGCTGTGGTAGGCATCTGCTGGGGACACGACGTGGGGCATGAGGAGAGAATAATTACTTTGGAACTCAGCCGAGCAAAACTGGTGCCTTGTGTATTGCAGATTGGTTGTACAAGTGTTCAGTTCAGAAACTGGTGGTAGTCATCTCGAATATTGAAAGTGGTGAGGTCCTTGAAAGATGGCAGTTTGATATTGAGTGTGACAAAACTGCCAAAGATGACAGGTAAGTATAAATTAAATTACTTCCACTTTCATATACAAGGTCTGTCTGGAAAAAGCCCAGCCATTGTTATAACAAACAGTTTGTGCGACATCGATGTAAGCTGGCAGCCAAGGAGAGTGGGCTGGAATGCACGTGCGTGAACAATGATGACTTCACTGTACTTGTCAGTTGGGGGAGTAGGTGCAATTAAGTGAGCATGTGTAGTGTGTGGCCATCGCATTCAAAATGACTGAGCTAGTAGAGCAACGAATCTGCATCAAATTTTGCGTTAAGCTTGAATATTCCTCCGAGGAAACTATTGGGATAATTCAGAAAGCCACAGCTGTGGGCAACTGGTGATTGGCAGCTTCATCACGGCAGTGCCTGTTCATGCATCATGCCTCCTGTAGAGATTTTTGGAGAAACATCAAGTTACCCAGGTGACTCAGCCCCTCTACAGCCCAGAAGCCCTGTGACTTCTAGCTTTTCCCAAAACTAAAATCCCCTTTGAAAGGAAGAGATTCTGGACCATCAACGCGACTCAGGAAAATGCAGTGGGGCACCTGATGGGGACTGGGAGGCCTGTGGGAGGTCCTGGGGCGTCATTATCCCGTGTACAACGTTGCTCGGCATGTTCCTCAGTAAATGTCTCTCTTTTTCATAGTACATGGCTGGGTTCCTTCTGGACAGACCTCGTCACCTCCCCTCCCGCCCCCCCCCCCCAAAAAAAAACTTGTTTTCTTTAGTAAAATGAGTTCTGATTATATTGAACTTCATTCATTTAAGGTATAATTTGTTTCTAACCTATACTAATTTGACTTTCAATTTACTATGGAAAAGAATTTTGCTCACTTTAACATTGATTTGTCCAAATAGTATACTATTTTTAAACTAATCGCCTTTAGTTAAATCAGTGTTTTCAAACGTATTGTGGTATGTGCGGCACTGCATGTGATGTACTAGATGGGCCATTCAGGGACTTGGTTAAAGGTACTTCTAACCAAAGGGATTGTCCTCGACTCTCCCGGCTTACAGCGCAGCCCTGATGCCTTTCCTTTATTGCCACCAACACCCCGAGACACTCCTGAAGCTCTGCAGTGCACCCACCCCTGCAGGGAAGCACCCAGCCTGACCTGCTGACGTGCAGCGCTGCCCTAGGCTTGCTACCTGGGAACTTGGAACCATTTCTCATAAAGAAGTAAAGTTTGCTTCTGAAGCCTTCGCTCTATGTTAGAGAATGTTTAGCTTATAAAAACAATTTGAGGCAGTAAGGAATTAGGCTTTTAGGCATTGCTAAAAATGCCAAAATGATTATACCAATTAAATGTTTTAGATAGTAGTTGCTCTTTATTTTCAGAGGCGGTGAAGTTTTCCTAACATGAACCATTTGACAGATTTTCTAGTCACCTGATACTAGATGACCTGATACTAAGACCAACCCTAAAAGATGATTGGGTACGATAAATGAAACAGTAAAGATACATCTTGTGCCTGCTAGATTATAGGTCCTAGCGATATATTTATACTCATCTAAAAAGGGGAGAAAAAGAAAAAAACCCTTTTTTAATGTATTATTTGATTTTTTTCGGAAGCATTCCATCCAATAAGTTTATCAATGTTTGAAATAACTTGTTACAACTAAAAATGAATGCATGGATGTGGTTTCTTTCATAGTACACCCAGAGAGAAATCTCAAAAAGCTATCCAAGATGAAATCCGCTCAGTGATCAGGCAGATCACAGCTACAGTGACATTTCTGCCGCTGCTGGAAGTTTCTTGTAAGTATTGCATAATTTCTCCTGAGCTTAAATTTGTTGGGGAAAAGACTAAGTTACAGCTGTAAGAATTATCCCTTTATTCAATTTTTTCTTAATTATTAATATGTACTATAAATGAGGGGGGGAAACATAAAGCAAAAGTTACGGTGTGTGTTCCAGGAAATTTGGAAATGCTAAAAAGGAAAGGGATGAAAGTGTCCTGCAGTGCTTATTCTTGACCATTTGGTGTAGTTCCTCTCACGGTATTTGTGTCCTACCCATCCTTAGGTGTATAATTCACACTGGAGCTGTAACTGCCTGGCTTCCTCAGCCGCTCCGTCCGCCGCCAGCCGCCTCCTGAGCAGCCCGGCCCAGGCTGCCCTGGGCGGGGGTGCGGCGGTCACGGGGCAGCGCGCTCGCTGGGGCTCACATTTGTGCCCTCCCGTGTGACTCTGCACTGTCTGCAAATATTTCTGAATGCTTTTCTTGGTAAAGAAAACAAAGCATCAATCTTTTATAAGATAGAGTAAAAGAAGCGCAGTGTTTTCTGTACTAAAACTGAGGTTATTCTTTCCATTGAGAAAAAGAATAACCTAGTGATTAGAGACCAGGTGAAACTATCTTTTCTAACACTATGCGTGATTTAAAATGGAAGACAGGAGTTTTACGAGAACATGATTTACTTTAGTGATCTTATCCCCAATTTAGGTTCATTTGATCTGCTGATCTATACAGACAAAGATTTGGTTGTACCTGAAAAGTGGGAAGAGTCAGGACCACAGTTTGTCATCAACTCCGAGCAAGTCCGCCTGCGCTCCTTCACCACCACCATCCACAAAGTCAGCAGCGTGGTGGCCTACAAAATTCCTGTCCTGGAGTGAGCGGGGGCCGCGGACAAAACCGTGGTTCTCAAATGTGTGCTTCTTGAAACCAGGCCAACTGTAGTTTGTGATGTATTTCACCGATTAATTTTTAGAGGGGGAAAGCTTAACATTATATACTGAACTGTGCATAATTGTTCCATTTTTTGATACCTGTTTAACTTTCCCTAGAGGTGACATAGCTTTTTGCATACTGTTCAGAAGGAAGTCAGCAGGGGACATGAGCACTGTCATACCATTTTCTCTGAGGGTGGTAACTAGATGGGAAAACTTCTCCTATACTCAGAATATAGATAAATATGAAACACAGCAGAAGAAACCTGAATATTCAGAATTTTTATTTAGGTCCTAAAGCAACTGATAACCCACAGTAACAAAATATTGCTATTAGGTCCTTTTGCCACTTATTTCATTTGTATAGTTTCCATATTGAAAGAAATCTCCAATTATTTGATTTAATGTATATAATTTACACTTAGAAACCTATTGCTATTTCTATTGTTTAAATGTTGGTGATACAAAATTCTTAAAAATGTCTGTGTGTGGTTTATAAAATCAAGCTTTAAATGGCAATGACAAATAAAGTTGAAGGTGTATGTTTTAATTTTGTCTTAAACTGTCTTGGCGCTGCTGCGGCGTCCCCGCCCAGAGCAGACGGGCGGACCCAGAGCCGCAGCCCTCGGTCCGCAGCCTGGCCTTCCTCGGCTCCGGCTGCCTGCCTCCAGCCGCAGTCTGGGAATGTCAGAGGGGACACTCCTGAAGTAAACCATTCCCAAGTTTTAAACTGCGTGCCGCACGATGAGGCCCTCTGCCGCCCCGCTCTGTCCTCCCGGGGGACGTGCGTCGCCCCGTTGTCCAGCCCCTCCATGCTGCAGATGCCCCCAGCTACCACGCTCAGTGTTCAGGGGACTCGGCGTTCGTGGGACGCAGCGCTTATGTTCGTCACCCTCACTTTACTTGGTAACGGCCCCAAAGCACAAGAGTACTGACACTGGCAATTCAGCTGTGCCACAGAGAGGGAGCAGAGTGCTGCATTTCAGTGACACGGTGTGCACACGGGCTCAACCACAGCACGCATCGGGTTCGGTGCTCTTCACAGTTTCAGGTGTCCCCTGGTGGCCCTGAAGCTGTGGCCTCCATGGATAAGAACGACCAACAACAAACAGCTTCTTGTGCCAACTAGGTGGTAGGGCCTAAGGCTGCAAAGGCGAGTTTTTTAACCTATGAGAGACCTTGATGAGTTGAACCGCACCAGTGTGGGCAAAAGCTGAGTGAGTCTCAACGTACTTGCAACTTAATGGACAGGCTTTGGTTGTACCCCCGCGGTCGTTTGTATAAAGTGACAAATGCAATTCGGAATTAATCCAGCTCAGCGAATGTTGGTTTACAGAACCTTTCTCCACTCAGCCTGTTAGCATAGTTTTTCTTGTATACTTAACACTAGGCTTCTTCCTATGCCTCTGGGTTCTTTCATACCTTTCGGTCCAGTTCCCACCCACTTTACCAAGGTTAGTTTAAGGCAAACTTCTAAAAAGTTCTAAACCTTATTTTGTAATAATTCAATCTATTACATGGTTAGACACTTCTAATTAATTTAACCTTCATTATTAAGTACACGTAGTCTCCATTCAAAAATTGCATACTGGGCATCATGACACACGCAGAATACTGTGTGCCAAGTGCCAGGGTGTGCGAGGCAGTCCTGGCCTTTCCAAAGCACGAGCCCGTGAGGAGAGGAAAGCCTGGGGGCCGCGAGGGGCTCCCCTCTGTGTGGCTGTCCTCCCTCCAGTGGCCTCACCTCGCCGACCAGGTGTGCGCTTGCCGATGAAGGGCAGTGTCCCATGCCCTCCGCTCCCTGCGCCGGACATGCAGCTGCCAGTGTCTGAGGGAAGATACAGCGGGTGCTGCTGAACCATCTGGCTGAGGCCCACTCACAAGCCTTTTCTCCCTGAATGAGAAAAGGAGTTACGCAGAAATGGAAATGATGTTAGATTAGGTGTGATCAAGAAACAGGTGTCTAAGTGACACGAAGTGTACTACAAAGTTGACACAATTCAGATGAAATGAATTCTTGGGCTATTCATAACCTCTTAACATTTGAAATATAGACTGAGAAGGAAAGCAGAAATAGAGGAACCTCAGTAAGAACAGCTGAACATTCTGGTCTTATTTGTAGGAAATAGGTTAAAATCTATAGAAAGGATTGAATACTCTGCTAAACGGCAGGAACAAAATGAACTAGTTCTTTCCCCTAACCCTCGCCAGCAGCAACATTCTTGTATATTGTAAATTTCTGTCATTTACATCTTTGTCAAATGACCCTAATATTACTATTAATTTGCGATTTATTGTGTCACCTTTATCACTAATAAATCCACAAAGAGCAGTGCTGGCGAGCATGTGGAGTAAGGGGAACCCTTGTGCACAGCTGTGATTGCAAATTGGTGTGGCCACTGTGGAAAGCAGTATGGAGTTACCTCAAAAAACTCAAGCTATAACTGCCTTATGACCCAGCAATTCCGATTCTGGGAACTTATCTGAAGAAACTGGAAATACTAATTTGAAATAACATATGCGTTCCCATGTTCGCTGCAGCATTTACAGTAGCCAAGTTATGGAAGCAGCCCAAGCGCCCGTCAACAGGCAAGTGAATAAAGAAGCGGTGGTACATTTACCCAACGGCACACTGCTCAGCCGTAAAAAGAAAGACGGCTCGCCGTCTGCAACGACACAGGCGACAACGCGGACGGGCCTAGACTCTAGGCCCCGGAGGGTACTGTGCTCAGTGAAATAAGTCAGAGAAAGACCAATACTGTTTGGTTTCCCTTATGTGTAAAATCTAAAGAACAAAATAAACGAACAAAACTGACACAGACTCAAACAAAACAAACTGGTGGTCACCAGAGGGGATGAGAGTCAGGGAATTAGGAGGAAGAGGTGAGTGGACTAGAAAGTACAAGTTGGTAGTTAAAACCAGTCACAGGGATGCAAAGTGGAGCTCAGGGGATAGAGTTGATAACGTGGTGACTGTGCAGGGCACCAGCAGGCACTAGAAATACCGAGGGAACAACATGCACCGTATGTGACTGTCCGACCGCCAAGCTGCACACATGAAAGCAATACAGTAATTTTGAAAATAAAATATAATTAAAAATTTATTAAAAGTCAGGAAATAAAGGTTCTCCAGAGCTAATGAAGCAGTGCCTGAAAAGCTTGCCTAAGTGACTGTCATGCGTAACTGAAGTGAAGGCCAGCCTCTTGCTTCTAGAAGAGGGAGTTTTCTCTGCGACAGGGAGTGGCTGAGAATGGCAGGTAACGGGGAGCTGAGGGAGGTCCAGAGACAAGTCTGCCTAGTGCCTTTCCTTCCTGGTGTAGGCGCTGACAGGCGCTCCACGGCACGCGCAGTGCAGCCCGCCCGGCCTCCCGGTGCCCAACGCAGGCGCTCTCGCAAACGCTTCCTGTCTCTGAGTTCAGGTTCTCAAATTCTCTCCCTTCACAGGAAGATGGAACCTCCCCTCCACACACACTCTCCTATCTGTCCATCCATCTATCATGTGTCTGTCCATCATCCCTCATTTCTCTACATATGTAGATGTGCATCTGTCATCTATTAGCATGTGTCCTGTCTCCAGCCATCTATGTATGTGCGCGCCCATGTGTCCACCATCTGTCTGTCTCTACTTGTCTGCCTGTCTCTCTACCCTATCTATCCACCTCTCTCCAAAGTACCCTATAAACTCATTTCAAGCAAGCTCTTCAAAGAAGCCTTCCTCGCGTGCCCTCCCACAGCCAACTTAGGGGTCAGGTCCCTCTTTAATGTTTCCTCTCTCTTTCTTTGTAGCACCTTCCAGAGCCTGGCCTTCCACAGCTGTTGGTGGGGCTCTTGGATGTCTGTCTCCCCATTCAAATCCAGGTTTTGTGAGAGCTGGGTCTGGGTCATTCAGTAAAAAATTTTAAGGCCCTCCAATATGCCAAGACCTGTGAGAATTAAGTGATACATCAGATATAGACTTTTCCCTCGAGATCCTTAGGGTCTAGTAGAAAACAAAGGATATATATTCCAGGAACTAATTACAGAAGCCTCTAAGAGAAATGACAAGACCTTGTTAGCGGGGTCAAGTGTCAGTCCTCCCCAGCTGTCACAGGGCGCTGTTCCTGTGGAAAGAGGTTGTGTGGCCTCCTGAGGCAGCCAGACTTGCCTCCTTCCTGCCGCGTCGCAGCTGCTTGGCTGAGAAGTCGCCCCTCGTCCATCTGGGCAGCCCCTCCTCCACTCACTGGCCAGGTTTCTGGTGGGAGGGGACACTGCCCTTACACCACGTGCCCTCAGCGGCCTGCTGGAGGCTCCGTGACGCCGAGGAAGGCGGGCATGCGGCAAAGCAGCCGTGAAGAGACAACAGCATCATCAACCTCAGGGAAATGCAAAGTAACTCCACCGCAGGGTCGCGCCATGCAGCCTTCAGAGTGGTTACGGTAAGACTGACGCCTGAGGACGCCGCGTGCTGCTGCGGAGGGGGGCAGTCGCTTGTACAGAGCGGGGGAGGCTGTCAGGTGGCTGGGGAGCGGTTGGACAGTTTCTTGAAAGAACAAAACCTACAATGACCACATGGCTCGGCAATTCCACGCCTGGACTTTTAGCCCAGAGAAAGAAGGGTTCCCACAGACACAGAACCCTGTGCACCAATGTGTGCGGCAGTCTCACCTGTGGCGGTCCCACACTGGAGTCCCCCCAGAGGCCCTGTGACAGCTGCACACTTAAACACAGTGTGGCACACCCGCGTCGTGGGCACCGCCCAGCGACACAGAGCGATGGTCCACTCACGCCTCGGCAGTACAGACGCACCTCAGGCAGGCTCAGGGCAAGAGCCGCCCCTCAAAGGCTCCAGGCTGTATGGCCCCATGGCTGTCACCTTTCTGACAGGGCACAATTACAGTCAGAGGGCAGGTGAGTGACTGCTACGGATGAGAGAGGTGCGCAGGGCGGGAGGGGCGTGTGTGTGGCTGTAGGAGGTGACACAAAGGATCCTGTAGGGGTGGCAGTGACTCTGCCAGCATTAATGTCTTGGTCGCGACGTGGTCTGTGGTTGGGAATGATATCACCATTGGGGGAAACCGGGCAAAGGGCAGATGGAATCTCCCTTCTCTCTCTTACAACTGTGTGCAAACCTATAGATGCCTCAGAATCGAACAATGAATTCAAAACTGTAAAGACGGAGGCAAAATCAGGGAGACAAGTCCGTCCACAGGTCAGGTCTGGCACGAGCCCTCGCACCTTGATGTATTAATGGCCATGGTCTAGATGACCCGGGACCCTCAGGCTTCCTGGAGTTCTTGACACTTTTCTGCTAAGTGCTGAAGACACACCTCATTTCTCAGGGCCAGGAACTGAAGAGGAAAG